AACTTTCCTTTTTTTTTAAATTTTCTTCTTTTTGATTTTTTCTTTGTATAATATCTTGTAACTTTCCAAATTATCTTCTTATTTTATTCACACCAAATCAAATTATCTACATCCTTCTTTGAATTATCAATTCTCTTCCTACAAATAATCATTTATAATTCTTCTGTTGTAGGCTATTAATTTTCGAATTTTTAAAATAGTTATCAAATCTAATTTATGAAAATTACCTACAAATAGGTAATAAATTTACAATTGCATCACATACTCTATATATTATTAAAAGAAGAAGAAGAAGAAAAAGCCTCCACATTAAGCCAAGTGACAATCTCACAATAGGTCACTTGGCAATTTACGATAAAGTTAGATAGGTTAGGTAATAATTAGTTTCTTTTTGGATTTAAATTTTAAAAATTAAATTATGTATTATGTGTTGTTAATAATTAGTTACTCTTTTTGAATTTGAATTTAAGCATACTTAACTTCTTCTTTTTTACGGAAACAATAATATTTTTATATGTTTAAAATTATTTCTATTTTACGCTCAATGCAATCTTTCAAGTTTGACATCTAGAATCATTTTGTTACAACTACCGTGGCTATACTTAATTTCATCTGACGATATTCTTCTACCGATAAGGAATTCAACTATTATGCTAATGAAGACATTACTGCAGAGAATGAGGAATGAGATGGGCTTTTTGGTATTCCTTTAGAAATGCAAGGCAAGTCTTCAACTAATATGGAGGTATTGTGTGATAGAATTAGAGATGAAATTGTTGCAAAATATTATTATGTGTGGGTGATTTTGCTTACTATTTCATGGTGAATTATCAATATATAGTAATTTGTGGAATAGACTTATAATTCACAGTGAGAAATGACAATAAGTAATTATATTCGATAATATTATATGTGTTTTTTTTTGTTAACTAGCTCTTCTAAAATATATTAAAAATTACCTGTTAGGGTAAAACAGTAGCAATGTTTTCGGGGGGGGGGGG